CGGGGGGGGGTGGGCTGTGGAAGAGGAAAAGGAACTCATGTGTCTTCACCTTTAAAATCAGTTCCCCATTAACTTGTTCTCTGCCAACTCTTCCTGCCAATTCTCCGTCCCCAGCCAACTTCTCAAATAATAAAGTTCTATTTTTGCAAAGCTAACAAAATAAAATCTAATGATATAAACCGAGAACAAATACAATTCTAAAGCAGCAAACTACAAGGAATCAGTCATCAAGCTCCTTTCAAATATTTATCATCAGTCTACACCACTCTGAATATTCTTATAAAATATACTTTATATTTCATAAATGTAATTCCCAACTATATCCAAGATATATACAGGGGTTTTTTTCCTGGCAGTTCATATCCTAATATCAAATCTATTTCAAAATCATGAGGAAAAATAAAAACCACTCTAAAAGGTATGATATGTTATTATTGAATTGGACTGGCAAATAAAACTTCAGAAAATAATCTTTCAAAAGTAAAAATGCTGCAGAATTATACAAATTTACTGTACTGAAATCTATAAAGAATCCCTATGACAGGTCAAAAATTGATTTTCAATCGAATAAGATCCCTCTAGATACTTTAGTATACATGCCCCACACATATGTATACACACAAGACATACAGTGAAATACCCTGACAGCTAACCACAGGCCTTTGAAGTCACTGTACTCACTCAGCACCCACTGAGAGAACCCACGTTCCTTACACATCTGCTTAACATTAAGTGAGAAGTTTGCCACCCTGGCTGGGTGGCTCAGTTGGTTGAAGTGTTGTCCTGTACACCAAAAAGCTGCAGGTTTGATCCCTGGTCAGGGCCCATAGGGGAGGCAAGTGACCAATGTTTCGATGTTTCTTTCTCACACTGATGTTTCTCTCTCTCTCTCTCTCTCCCCCCTTCCTTCTCTCTAAAATCAATAAACATATCCTCAGTGAGGGGGAAAGAGTTTTTTAAAAATAGAGTCATAGATACAGAGAACAGGCTGACAGCTGTCAGAGAAGAAGGGGGCTGGGGGGCTGGGTGAAAAAGGTGAAGGGATTAAGCAAAAAACAAACAAACTCATAGACACAGATACCAGTATGGTGATTACCAGAAAGAAAGTGGGCTGGGGGGAAGTAAAAGAGAGTAAAGGGGGGACAAATGGTGATAGAAGGAGACTTGACTTTGGTGAACACACAATACAATATACAGGTGATGTATACAGAACTGTACACCTGTAACCTATATAATTTTATTAACCAATGTCATCCCAATAAATACAATAAATAATTTTTAAAATTTTAATAAAAATTTAGGTTTTTCTTTAAAAAAAAAGTTAACAGGAATTAAATAAATTTGGTGCAAAGTTAAAAAAAGAATCACTGGTCAGTTTGGCTCAGTGGTTAGAGCGCAGGACTGCAGACCGAAGGGTCGCCCGGCTGGGCGTGGCTCAGCGGTTGAGAGTCGACCTAGGATCCAGGCGATTGGGGTTCGATTCCTGGTCAGGGCACATGCCCGGGTTGTGGGCTCAATCAATGATTCTCTCATCATTGATGTTTCTATCTCTCTCTCCCTCTCCTTTCCTCCCTCTGAAAATCAATAAAGATATATTTTGAATAAAAAAAAAAAATCACATGGAAGTGAAGATGAATACTGTCATTAAAACATATTAAAATAAGACAAAACATAATACATTTCATCCTTCTGTATTTATTATGCATCACAGAAAAGGAGGTAGGAAAAAATGCCATGTGGTACTGCCAGCCGCTACATTTATAATTCATAATTAAAATGAACTTTAGGACAGGCATTACACAAAGGTGACGCTATATATTTAATACTTTCTTAGGATTTACTTAATTTAGTCAAGATGGTATTCACACTTGTTGGAAATATTAGTTTATAGCCCATCTAAGTAACTTAGTAACTTAATTACATGTCAGAACAAAGTCCAACATTATTTAAAGGAATTCTTAAAAAGAAAAGTCTAGTACCCTATAAATTACATTAACAAAGTCTGACACCCTATCAAAAATTACCAAAGAAACAGGAAGATATGGCCAAAATCAGGAGAAAAATCAGCAGAAACGTAACAGGAATGACTCAAGGGGAACTAGAGATGAAAAACCACCTGAAATAGAAAATATTTGGGGTGGAATTAAAGCAGATTAGACACAGCTGAAAAAAATCAGTGAACTTGCAGACACAGCAACAGAAGCAATCTAAAATGAATCTGAGAAAAAGGTTAAGATGAAAGAGAAGAGAGCACCAGTAATCTATGGGGCTACCCCAAGCAGTGTAACGTGTGTGTTCCTGGAGTCTAAAACAAGAAAAGGCAGGCACAGAAAAAAAATCTTTCAAGAAATAAGGGCTGAAATTTTTCCCGATTTAAAGAAAACCATAAGATCACAGATCTAAGAAGCTCAATAAACTCCAAGCAGAAGAGCTATAAGAAAAGTACCGGTTTTTTATTATGCACATCATAATCAAATAGCTGAAAACCAGTGACGAAGAGAAAAATCTTAAAAGCAGACAAAGAAAAACACTTAGTTTGGGAGCCTTAGCTAAGAATCAATACATAATGAGAGGTGGGAGGGAAAAATCAAGCAAAGTTTATTCTTTTTTCTTTATAAAAAAAGAACACAAACATTTACACACAAATCTAGAAAAATAAATACTAGTGCTAAGTTCAAAAGAACCTGCATCATTTCAATTAACTTGCATCATTCCAATTAACTAACCAAAAGCATTCAAAACCTCATTTTGTATTAGCTCATGTGAGATGAGCTAATGTGGTCAGTTAACTGGTTCAGAATGTTTCCATGGTTACCAATTATTTTGGATGCGGAAAGCAGTACAAGGTCTGCATCAACTGCCCTGAAACATTTGCCTTGTGTTTAAAAACATGCAAATGTGAAGAGCCTTTCTGGTACTATACTTCTGACAGTCACATAAAACAATGCTTCACTCCTCTTCTAATACAAAACTCTGCTAAAGTACTTTGCTAAAGCACTTGACATAGAATCTAAGAAAAGTATGTCTTGAACTCAACCCAAGTGGGTTTGGTGTAGTTTTCAAATAAAAAATGTGTGGTGAAAGGACAAAAATTCAGGTTACTTGGGGTTAAATAGTTCTGCCCTGACACAGTAGGTAAACCACATAGCGACTGAAATAGCTCATCTATAAAATGAAGTTGGGTTAGATGAGTTTGAAAATATCTATGGTTTCGCAAAAGCCCTTAAAAATTAACTTCATTAAAAGCTCTTTAGCAAAGTCCTTAGAAATAAAATATTTTATCCACTTATGAGGTACAGTATAGTAGTCACCTGGGTAAGATTCTCTCTACCACTTCCATCACCTATTCTCTGTATAATAATTAAAGGGAGACTTCTGCCATTCGGGGTAATGGGAGAGAAGCGGGGTAGGCAGAAGGGGTATAGTTTCTAGGTTTCCTTTTTAAGAACTTGTAGTTTGCCTGGCCTGCAATATAAATCAAAGGGAGCTAAGCTAAAATTGAGGTTGCATGGTTGGTTCCTACTGTAAGAGTCAATGAATAAGTCAGTTGATCTTCAGGTCAGCCTTAAGTTGAGCATTTATCAGCTAACCTTCAGGTAAGCTGCTATCAAACCTTAAGCTTCTCCAACATTCCCTACTTAACTGTTGCACTGATTCAAAGTGTCGGGTCTTTACAAACCTACCTAGTGAGTCTTGGTTATTATTGAGGATAAACACTCAAGACTTTTATTTTTTACTAAAGTTTATCTTTTTAAAAAATGTTTTTATTGATTTTTTTAAAGAG